TCACTTGCCATTTCTTAACATTCTGGTGGAATACAGTGTGTGACTGTTACAACCCTGGCTCAACTAAGGGGAAAGTTGGGGGGTAACATTAAAACAAAAAAACAGATGTTAAAGGTGTAAAAGGTCGCTAATTTATTGCTTAGTTTTGTGTTAGTCTCTTTGGGCAATCTCCAGTTCCACTGCACAGACTGATTCATATGCAACTGTATGTTTTAATGTCCTCCTTCTGTATCCAAACTAAATGTTTAAGAACTGTACAGAATCCTCCTTCTGACAAAAATACAAAGCACATATAAAGGAATGACGTACTTTGTCCGCCAGATTAGGAGGGCAAATCCGCAAATAGAAATACTCAAGCACAAATTAGCAGTGGGAGCATGGTAACAGTCTAGTCATATTTACTATTGGAAAGATACAAAACTAACTTTTGCATGTGTATTTGTAGGAAATGTGTTTTTATTGTTGATGTGGTGGTGATGGTGGTGACTTAAAATCAAAATTACCCTGGCAGATGGTGTCTGTCACTATTCTTCTATCCTGGATAGCTGGCAGGTGGATGAGATCGTCATGCCCTCTTAGGGGTCATCCGGAGATGATGTAGGCACCCAATTACTTGAGAAATGCCAAAATGAAATAAAATAAAATAACTCATCCAAGTCTAAGGTTACATTACAATGTCATTAGAAGGATATAATATAAAATTGATTAAATAGATCATTTCTCTAGAATCCTGTCGAACTCTTTCTTGATACCTCAGATGAGTTTATTGCATGGAAAATTGACAAGGCAGGGTAAAAAACCCTTTCAAGGCTAGGCACACCGTTCTTATTCTTATGAACACTGTTGCCTTACTTAGGGGTTCAGCATCTGCCACGTTATATAAAAAACACATATAACACACAAAACCTTTTGGGATGTGAGAGCTGCAGATGTGAGGATGGATGAGGTTTGGGATATTTATGATGGATTGTGAGGTAAAACGGTAGGGCTCAAAAAGATAATTGTTGATATTGGGTGCAAAATTATGTCTATACACGGTCTGATAACCTTCTCTCTTTCAAATATTTAATTCTTTGGGAATTAATGTCACACCTGCATCAAGGGGATCCTCATCAAAAGGACATGCCATGTTTGTTTTTAACACTTGATTTTTTACTGTTCGCACAAACTATGATAAATGTCTCCTGACGAATGAGGAAATTAAACAGTGTGAGTGATTTAAAGAAGGTGTAAACAGAGGAAACTGATTTTATTGATGAAAACCTGCTCCTGACCAAGTTCATTCTAGGAAGAATGTTGTTTAATGTAAACAAAACTCATTTTAAACAGTCACCTTTTTTCCTTAATGAACCCCTTTAACAAAACTAATGGTTGGGACCTGACAGGGACCTCCGGTGTCTAACAGAGCATCAACGGTCAAGCCACTCAGGTCACATCGTGCGAGGGCTTTGGCACCTATGAACTTCGCTAGACGCCTGCTTGTTTGAGTGGGAAGGGAAAGGGGGGAATGGGGGTCCCTTACATTGTTTACTTTAGGTCTTCTATTCAGCAAACTCTCCCTTGCACAAAAATCAGAGCTGGATACATTGCGCTCAACACTGTGGGACTGAACATGAGACCCGGTCACTGGTTGTCCCGTGGCAGCGACCGGCTCCAGTTTTCCTGACGCTTCGGCTTCTTTAGGCAGCTTACTGCTCTGTGGCCGTTTTCACCACAGTAAAAACAGTGAGTGCAGCCTGGGAGGTTCTGTGCGAGGCAGTTAGCACAGCTACATAACTTGGGTTTTGTTCGTTCCACTTGAGCTTTGCAGTGGTGGCAGGGCTCGGAGCTGTGAATCTGCTGCGGCCGTTGCAGTTGCTCAACTTTAGTCATTAACTCTGCTACTTTGTCAGTTAACAGCTGAAGTGCATTAGCCTTTGGCTGTTTATCTGGAGCATCTTTCTTTGCACCATTACCTTGTGCAGCTGCGACTTCAACCTCCACTAGCTCAGTGCTATGCACACTTACTTGTTTTTGTTTCACGTCTGACCCCAAACGTCTCTGCCGTTCATTCTCTGTGCTTGTTATCTTCATCATTTGTTTCAAAATTTCCTCATCAGACACACTGCTATCAGAAAGTAACGTTTTAAGTTCTCTGCGTATGTCATTATGTTTGTGGCTAAGGCCTTGATATATGGTGTGTAGGAAAATGTCTTTAACTGTGTTCGAATTGTATTTCACTTCCGTGTCAGCATGTTTTGAGGCAAACGGTATCTTTTGTTTCAGACCTATGACACGATACAAAAACTGTTGTGGGGTTTCGCTGTCAGATTGTTTGGTGCACATCAATTCTTGGAAGAGCTCTGTGTTGTTTTGTCCACTGTAGTGAAATCTGTTTAATTTGATGTTATTTAATGTTATTTAATGTAAGTTAATGTTAAGTTCATCCACTGCGGCCACCTAGTGGCAAATGTTAGAATTGTGTGCATTTCAGTAAATGCCATCTTGTGGTCACTTTTATTACTACAACTCGCTTACCGGAAACGAAGAAAGCCGTTGAGATCTAACGGCTCTGAAAGAAGCTCCTTTCTGTTGTGTTTTCTTTAATCTAAGTGCAACACGGCATCGTCTGTAAGTACTGTTCTAATTTGCCTGTGATATCAATCATAATTCATAACCCGTTTACATGTTTTATGTGAAGATAGACGTTATTACTTGTGTTAGCCCAATATGTTAGCCTAACCGGCATTCATTTTCTGTACCTTTTGTGTGTTACAGTTTTACACGATTCTCATTAAAACCTGCTAAAGAGCCAAATGCAGTGCTTCTTGGTGGATGGATGGGAAAGTGTTTAGCTACCTGTATGTAACCCAGGGTAAAAGATTGCCCCTAATCCCGCCTTTCCTGCTCCATTGGTTAGAGTGACAGTCAGTCACACAGTGCATTCAGCCAATCACTGCATTTTGAATGGTTAATCAGGCCTGCTCAAACTTTCCCTGTCAGGTGTGAAGGGGAGAGCTGGAGACAAAGGAGCTACAGGTTTGTTCTTCCAAACAATTAGTTTATCTCTTTGTTTATTATGCACTTTTAATACTCACAATATAAAAGATCATGTAGATCTGAACATCCAGTGAGCTTGGAGCCGTGAAGTTGTCATGCACTGAACTATATATGGAATTGGTGAGTAATGAACACAAATGTTGTTTGTTTGGTTGGCATGTTGGTGGTGGTAGCCAATGCTAATTGTTTGATCATCAATTTTAACTTCTTAAATTCAATATGTGTTTAAGATGATGTAAATGCTGATATCTTTATTTTGTCTTAACGATTAGCTTGTGGATATAAATGCATTTATTTCTGTGTATAATATCTGAAAAAGTCCAGTTAACTAGCAGGCTGGTAATTTACTGGTCATGTTTATTTTAATACAGGCCAGGTGATCCCTTGGTAGGGTCAAAGGATGGCGAGCTTCTGACAACTGGCTGGAGCCAGGAGAACCTTAAACCTCACTCTATACTGGTCTGGTAGGAGTCTGATGGTCCACAACATTTCCCCTCCATCTCATTATAAAGACACACAATTCATTATTCAACTCTTCTCTGGTGGAAACTAATTGTGCTTGGACATTTTCATCTCAAACAATTGGACAATTACATTATGGACTTTTAAATGTGTGTCAGTCAGACAATGTGCTGAATACTGGGGAAAGATAGGACTCTTTGTGCACATTTATATACAAGGTTTACTGCAGTATTGTGTAAGTATATATTTATTGTCTTTATTTTTGGGTTTTCATGTATGTTTGTGTCTTGGGGTGTTCACTTATTTTTCCTTCTTTAAATTACATAATATTGAAAGCAGTTATTCTTTTGTATTGTTTTTATTGATTACTGACAACAGCTCCAGTAGATGAACCTAACCTTCTGGTATTATATGCCATCTAGTCCTTTACCTGCATTAAATAGTGTTACATGTATAGCTGAGTTACTGCTGAAAGTCACAGTGCTTAGCGAGGCCAGGACACCCACCTAAATGTGACTGCAGGAAACACTTAATCTCAGCTAACGTCAAATTATCTTTATGCATTAGCATATCTTTAAAATGTCCCGGTTTGATCACTCTGAGTATACCTCTCAGTATTTCAGCATCACTGAACCGGTCTTTTACGCCATCATCGATTTGTCTACATATGCTGCTGTAACTCAAGTCCGAGCTCTGATCTCCGATCTGCCCGCCTTGAACCTTGAACTCTCGTCGCAGCATTGAGAGCTCTCGAAGGGGCACGTCTTGGTCATATTTGTCATGTGTGTTTTATTCGGGTGTATGTTGTACAGGTGTATGTTTGGTCTCAGGTGGCAGTGTAGAGTGTAATGGTGTATGGTGTGCCGGTGTAGGTGTGAGAGTGAGTGGTGATGTGGTGTTATTGATGTGTTGTAAAAAAGTAGTGAGCATTCTCTGCAACTCGATTGTATCTGTAGGTTGTATGGTTTTGACAGGGTGTGTGAGTGATGGAATAGTAAATGGTAAGGGGAAAGCTGGGCTGACCTCAGCTGGGTGTGTCATATTAGTGTTAGGAACACTGGGCACCATATCATCAGTGACTGCATATTCACTAAACCCTGGGGTTGACAATAAATTATGCACATCAGCTGCAGTTGCCTTACACTCAACAGTACGTCTCTGGATGACCTTCACAGTATCATTTAACTCCAACAACGCAGCCATACCTGAATCCTCCAATTGCATGAGAGTGTCACTGTCCATGTAAGCTCGGATGTACTCAAAGCAACGATCTTCCTCACCAACCTGAAGCGTGGATGCATCCTTCCCCGGCACAGGACCAACACTCCGAGCCAGTTGGAAAAGTTCATCAGCCGTCAGAGTGAGCAGACTTTTCTTGAAGTCCCACACCAAGCCTCTTCTCTCACCGTCCGCCATGACAGCTTTTTCGTCTTCCTCGCTGTTGGTTGCTCCTTCAGGCAGCTCTTTTATCCGTGGCTCCAGGTCTGGTCCCCACTGCGTAGCTCTGGCACCGCTTCACACAGCTGATTCTGGTTGCGCTTGTCGCCTGCGCATCTGACGCCGTTCCCCGTACGGGCCACCAAAAATCTGTAACCGTAGCAACGGCACCTTGGCTGACAGATATACCCCTGACAAACAGGAGAGAGATGAGGAGACGGCTTGTCAGTTCAGAGTATCAAGCAGTAATGCGGGAAACCGCGATGCGAGAAACTAAAACTGGAACCCACCCTCGCCCCCTGCTGGCAGGGAGTAAACATTACAACACACACATTGAATGCGAAATCAAATCACCATGTAAAGAAATGTAAACCAAAATAAAACATAACAATTGCCATTCAAAATAAAATACAATTTTCCCTTTTTTCCCATAAACACAAAATGTGACACTTTTGTGGTCGTCACATTTGCATCTTCTCCCTGTGTCTGCATGGGTTCTCTCAGGGTTCTCTGGCTTCCTCCCACAGTCCAAACCCTGCATGTTAGGTTGATTGGACATTCCAAATTGCCCTTAAGAGTGAATGACAATGTGCATGGTTGTTTGTCCTTGTGTGTCTTGTGTGTGGCCCTGCGATGGACTGTCCAGGGTGTACCCAGCCTCTCGCCCATTGACCACTGGGATAGGCTCCAGTTTTCCCCGCGACCCCATTATGGAATAAGCAGTAATGATAATGGATGGGTGGGTTTCCCTTTTGTGATAATATGATGTAGTGCACTTTGAACTACACCCTGTATAACTTGAGCTCTACAAATAAACTTGCCTTGCGTAGATTCTGTTTGATAGGTTGATGCCATCAAACAGTAGTGTTTGATGCATAAAATCCTTACAGAGATTTGATTGAAAGTCTTGTTATTTTGATACATAAATACATAACTAATTTTAACTTCCTGAAAGGATGAGTAAACAGTGTAAACAGTGTTGGTGGGGCACTGCTTCCCCCCCCCTGAGACGCCGGATGGTGGACCAGAATCGCCTCGAGGCCGTACGGAAGTCTTTTTCCATGGCCTCCCCAAACTCCTCCCACACCCGGGTTTTTGCCTCGGCGACCACCCGAGCCGCACGTCGCTTGGACTGCCGATACCCATCGGCTGCCTCCGGAGTCCCACAGGCCAAAAAGGCCCGATAGGACTCCTTCTTCAGCCTGACGGCATCCCTCACCGCCGGTGTCCACCAGCGGGTTCGAGGGTTGCCGCCACGACAGGCACCGACAGCCCTGCGACCGCAGCTCCGGGAGGCCGCGTCATTGATGGAAGCGCGGAACATGGCCCACTCGGACTCAATGTCCCCCGCCTCCCCCGGAACGTGCTCAAAGCTCTCCCGGAGGTGGGAGTTAAAGCTCCGCCTAACAGGGGACTCCGCCAGGCGCTCCCAGCAGACCCTCACAACACGTTTGGGCCTCCCGGGTCTCACCGGCATCCTCCCCCACCATTGGAGCCAACTCACCACCAGGTAGTGGTCAGTGGAAAGCTCCGCCCCCCTCTTGACCCGAGTGTCAGCAACATGCGGCCGCAGATCAGCTGAAACGACAACAAAGTCGATCATTGAGCTGCGGCCTAGAGTGTCCTGGTGCCAAGTGCACATATGGACACTTTTATGTTTGAACATGGTGTTCGTTATGGACAATCCATGCCGAGCACAGAAGTCCAAAAACAGAACACCACTCGGGTTCAAGCTGGGGGGGCCATTCCTCCCAACCACGCCCCTCAAGGTCTCACTGTCGTTGCCCACGTGAGCGTTGAAGTCCCCCAGCAAAACGAGGGAGTCTCCAGGGGGGGCACCCTCCAGTACCCCCTCTAAGGACTCCAAAAAGGGTGGGTACCCTGTGCTGCCGCTAGGCGCATAAGCACAAACGACAGTCAGGACCCGTCCCCCCACCCGAAGGCGAAGGGATGCTACCCTCTCATTCACTGGGGTAAACCCCAACGTACAGGCACCGAGATGGGGGGCAATAAGTATGCCCACTCCTGCTCGGCGCCTCTCACCGGGGGCAACTCCAGAGTAGCAGAGCGTCCAACCCCTCTCGAGAAGGCTGGTTCCAGAGCCAGAGCTGTGTGTCGAGGCGAGACCTACGATGTCCAGCCGGAATCTCTCCGCCTCACACACCAGCTCAGGCTCCTTCCCCGCCAGAGAGGTGACGTTCCACGTCCCTAGAGCCAGCTTCTGCAGCCGGGGATCAGTCCGCCAAGGTCCCCGACTCCGGCCGCCGCCCAGGGCACAGCGCACCCGACCCCTATGGCCCCTCCCACGGGTGGTGAACCCCTGGGAAGGGGGACCCATGTAACCTCTTCGGGCTGGGCCCAGCCGGGCCCCATGGGCGAAGGCCCGGCCACCAGGCGCTCGCCATGGTGCCCCGCCCCTGCGCCTGGCTCCAGAGGGGGGCCCCGGTGACCCGCGCCCGGGCGAGGGTACCCTGAGTCCATCTTTCTTGCTCATCATAAGGGGTCTTCTGGGCTGCGCTTCGTCTGATCCCTCACCTAGGACCTGTTTGCCTTGGGTGACCCTACCAGGGGCTTGAAGCCCCGGACAACATAGCTCCTAGGATCACTGGGACACTCAAACCCCTCCACCACGATAAGGTGGCAGCCCAGGGAGGGGCCATTTAAAAATAATTCAGAAGCCATATGTTCCATTTAACCTGAGTAGTGTTGTGATTGGATGTTACCATTGCAGAGTTAAAGAAAATTTAAAGATAAGAAAGTTTATTTCCAAAAGGTTGAACAAAGGGATTGGCTCCACAGTGGTCAGCTCAAAATTTACAGGAGGCTTCAGTAATCCGCTTTCCAGTTCATTTGGCAATGATTGGTAAGAGCAAGGAAGGAAGTTAGGATCCAGTGCTGGTGAAAAGATGGTCCAGAGTCCGGGAAAGTGAACGGCACAGGAATGGAAAATAACAGTCTCTTGGTGCTTTGAGGCTTATGAAGGGCAGAGCAGGCATCCAGGAGGTCAAGGGTAGAATCTTGATGCTTCTGCTAATACACCTGATTTCTATCTATGCTTTTTTAAGATGCTTCATGAGGACCTGTAGGAGCTCCAGTCTTTGCAAGACTGTTTCACTGTTCAAGTGGTAACCTAAGTTTGTGTTTATATATCCTTATGATGAGAAAACAAGTGCACAGATTAGGGAAGCAATAGAAATGTTGGATCGTTTCAACTTGAAAATCTTGAATGTAATGGTAATAAGAATCAAGAGCACCTAGAGCAAACAGAAAACACCACAAATAAACATTAAATGAGAATCACAAACACAAAACAGAGCGTCAAGTTCACTAAACTGTACAAACAAAGACTGTGTAGCAATAACAATGATCTGTGCAAGGCCAGACAGCTGCATTTATCTGGAATATATTCGATATGAATGTCAAAAATTCTCTAATTCTGTTTTCTATTACTGAAAAATTGAGAAATGCACTCAAACAGCAAGACCCAGAACTCATCTCCACAGAGAAACTCAACAAATTTTCCAACTTGGGAAAAATCCCAATAATTCATTCCACACAAACAAGCAAGACAAAAATAATCAAAATTTAATGTTGCTGATTTAAAAGTCAATGTTGAAATCATTTTGCATCAGAAATCAATAACTTGCACTCGGGACATCATACCATTACATCAGTAGAAATTGATCTCCTACAAATAACAGCTAAGTGGTTTGGGCATTTCACTAAAGATAGTTTCCATTAAGCCGCTTTTATAGAGAACTCTTGATACCTCTATCATGACCAACTACAGATCTGTCTCTAATCTCTTTAATTTATCCAAGAAGTTTTAGACAGTTACATTTAAAAAGCTCTAAAAAAAATTTGAAAGAAAGTGGACATTTTGATTACTTTCAGTCAGAATGTCATCACAGCACTAAAACAGCTCTGGTCAAAGTGTTCAACAACATTTGAATATTGATTTTGGTCATGTTTCCATCCTGTTTCAAATTAACCTCAGTGCTGCATTTGATACTGTAAATTACAGAATCCTGTTTCACAGGCAGCAAAACTTGGTTGGACTTTCTGGAGCCATAACTTATGAAATCCCCATTGTCTAATTCTTGGATCTTTGCTGTTCAAATTGTATATGCTCCTTTTGGGTTAGATATAACAGAGCTTCATCATTAATTATCACAGTTATGCAGATGATAATAAACTTATTTTTTCTTTGTGAACAGACAACTGCTGCCTTGCAGACGTATCGTGTCAGTGTCTGGAGGAAATAAACATCTGGATAAGAGATTTTTCTCCAATTAAATGAAAACCCCCTCTCTGGGCTGCCACGTTATTGTGGTGGAGGAGTGCGAGTGTCCCAATGATCCTAGGAGCTATGTTGTCCGGGGCTACAAGCCCCTGGTAGGGTCACCCAAGGCAAACAGGTCCTAGGGGAGGGATGAGACAAAGCGCAGCCCAAAAGACCCCTTATGATAAATAACATGAATGGGCCAAGTGTACCCTTGCCCGGACAGGGGGGTCACCAGGGCCCCACTCTGGAGCCAGGCCCAGAGGTGGGGCACGTTGGCGAGCGCCTAGTGGCTTTAACCCATGGAGCCCGGCCGGGCTCAGGCCGAAGAGGCCACATGGGTCAACCCTCCATTAGGCTCACCACCTCAAGAGGGGCCAAAGGGGGTCAGGTGCAGTGTGGAACGGGTGGCGGGGACTTTGGCAAACTGATCCCTGGCTGCAGAAGCTGACTCTAGGGACTTCGAATGTCACTTCTCTGGTGGGCAAGGAGCCTGAGTTTGTGTGTGAGGAGGAGAGACATAGTCGGTCTCGCCTCGACGCACAGATCTGGCTCTGGAACCAGCCTTCTTGAGAGGGATTGGACGCCCTTCTACTCTGGAGTTGCCCCCGGTGAAAGGCACTAAGCAGGAGTGGGCATACTTGTTGCCCCCCATCTTGGTGCCTGTACGTTGGGGTTTGCCCCAGTGAACTACGGGACGGGTGCTGACTCCAGAGGCAGCTGATGGCTATCGGCAGTCCAAGGGGCATGCTGCTTGGGTGGTTGCCGAGGCAAAAACTCGGGTGTGGGAGGAGTTCGGGGAGGCCATGGAAAAAGCCTTCCGTATGGCTTCGAGCCGATTCTGGTCCTCCATCCAGCATCTTGGGGGGGGGAAGCAGTGCTCCAACAACACTGTTTACAGGGGGGGTG